TCATTTCACATCTCGTTGACATATGATGAATTATAATTCATGATCAGTGAAAAGTTTTCTATTATTAAATTGATGGATTGATGGATCAAATTTATGTTTATCTGATGGATTTCTTTCGTCTTTCATTATCACGTATTTTTTTATTTATGCGGGTTTCAATTTTTTATTATTATATCAATAATATATTTTCAAGTTTATAGCTTAATTCTCTTGAATTTATGACAGATTTTTATTTGTTTGATTTCGGTTTCAATTTCATATTTAATTTTTCAATTGTAATCAAATTATTCAAAAGCTTTTTGAAGTTGTTCGAGTGTAAAATGAATGGATTTATAATGGTATTAAATTTATCGCATAACTCATTAATTTTCAATCACGACTTGGTCTTTATTAAGGCACTCAATGAGCGACGTATTTAATTTTATTAAAAGACTATTAAAAATCGAAGTTAAAATGAATTTCAAGTTATTTTTTTGGATTATGAAGAATATTTCCCGATCGACACATATTGAAATCCAGTTGGAAGTTGCTTCCAAGCGTCTGCCGCTTGGTTCGAATTATACTATCAACCCGACTGCCAGGTGGCAAACATTTCAATGTGTGCCGATCGGGTTTCTTTAATTATTAAGTTTAAGAGTTGTACATACATTAAGTCCATCGAATTCTGCTGCTTTCAGATTTGCTCAGTCTCGGAATCGTTGCAAAGCATCCGAAGTCCAGCACCCTCTCCTCTAAACTAGTCTGAACAATATACAAACTTCATAAAAGCCGATGATAAATTACAAAAACATTTTTTTATGGACTTGGAAGAAAATTGAATTTCAAACTTTTAGCATCAAACATAAGAAATTGTTTACTTCAAAACTTTAATTTCATAATTTTTCTCTTTTCTTCTCGTCTTCATCAAATGAAAAAAAGAAGCGAAGATGAAGAAAATCGTGCGATGAGGGAAAATAAACTTCAATAATTCATTTCTCATCTTGAAAATTTCAGAGAATTAAATTTCCATCATAAATTTCACGATTTACAGTTTTTTTATTCTGTGGATGAACAAGAAGTTTTGAGCACTTTCAAACTCGTTCAGTTTTAGTCTATCAATCAAAAATTTTGAACGTTTAAAGGTCGAATTCAGAGCTGGAATTTAAGAATCTTTAAACTCTACTCTGAAATCATGAATTAATGTCCTACAATCCTATAGGAATAAATGAGAGTTGACTGATCCCAGGTAGCCCCGGTAACCCGAATCAGCACCCATCCTGTGTCTCTACCCTTACCCGAATAGCACAAGTTGGTTAATCGATTAGAAATCCGACGTCAAGCTAGCATGATTCTTGCATGGTGCTGGTTTTGATTTAAATCTAGCACTATACCAGAGGCTCACCTGCTTGGTGCTGGATTTTAAATCGATTATCCCTCTTGTGCCATTTGGGTAATGTAAGTCTATAACTCGGCATTTTAAACAAAAATACAAATTTTGTCTATTTTTAATTTTTCAACTAACCTTTTAATGACATCCAGTCAAGAACACACCAGTCATCACCTCTGGCATCACGTCAAAAAGGTGAAAAGATGAAACTTCAAAGAAGAGCAAATGTGAAACTTCCACAGAAAATAAACTTTGCATCCCCTTCTTTAAACAAAACAGAATCACCTCTTTATGGAGCAAGAAGAATGTTCATTGCTTTTATTTCCAACATTTAAAGTCATGAGTTGCTGCTGCCATTCACAATATATTCACATGATGTTGAATGTCTCATAATTTTTCAGATTTTTCTGTTTCCTTGTTTTTTTTTAATAATATGTATGTGAAGCATAAAAAGTATAGTCATGCAATTTATGAAGATCTGTGAGTGAGAATGTTCATGTAGGACATGAAGTTGTGAATTTGCTTCATTTACACCCACGAGATGATGGTTTTTGTCATTATTCCTCTTATGCAATAACATCAAGGCTGATGATGATGGTTATGAAGCTTGTATTTTTGTGGCAACAAATTCTCGGTAAAAAGCTTTAGAACTGCTCACGTTTAGTCAGTTTGTATGCATACAAAAGAATTTTCGACTGAGGTTTCACTTGTTCATGTAATCAGCATAAATGATTTTATTCTTATGTAATAGAAATTCATTTATGTAAATTGAATGAATGAGTAGAGTCAGCGTTGTTGTGAGGCTTAAGTTCCAAGGATTTTTTATTCAAAATGCGTCATTGAAGCACTTCAAACAGGATATTTGACTCCAACTTTACTCTCATTTAAGAGAATACATCCTTAAGCTAAAAGCACAAATTCCTCTTCATCGTCATCGTCAGAACTGAAATTTTATGCCACTATTGTTACAGCAGAGATGCCTTGCAAATGACACAATGAGAAAGAGACACACAAAAAAAAGTTGATAATTTTATGCAAATTTAGTGAGCGTGAAAAAACTTGAATGTCGAATTATTCTATTTTTTTTTCGAGGAGCTCAAAAAGCTGGAAGGCAAGAATGAAAAAGTTTAGAGAAAAAAAAATTGCAGTATTTCAACTTTTTATAGCAACAAATTTTTCTTTTATTCACAAATAAAAATTCTCTCAAAATTTTCCATCATTTTTGTTGTTTTGTAGAAAAACCAAAAAAAAAATCATGTTTTTAGACAAAAACTAAAGTTAATTCATTTTTCTGTTACTGAATAAAATTAACAAAAAAAAAGCTAGCCATTATTATAATAATGGTAAAATTAACACATTCACAAACATTTACATTTTTTTGCTGTATTTTTTTAAAATAAACTTTCTTTAAATTTTGGATTGTATTTTTTGGCGCATTTTCTGTAGTATGGCTGTGAGTTAGGATCGTTGGGGTTGTAAGATGTCTTGCTGTTTTATCAAAATGAACCAAGAAGGTGTGCTGTGGGGGTCTAATATTGAATGAGTGATATTAAATCTGCTCATTTGAACATACATAAATAGAACCTAAAACTATTCAAAAATTACCTGGATGCACCTGACCCCTCCTTCCTCCTGCTTTCTTCTTTCCTTCTGTAGACCCTACTTTTCAATTGAGCACTTTTCTTTCTAACATAAAAAAGGTCGTTCACTTTGGGGGGGGGGGGGGGGGGGGGGGGGGGAGTCAGCAAGATACGAACAATAGAAATTCTTGGAAATCCATTGTTCTTTTTTGAAAAATGTAATGTAAGAAAAATGGATGACACATTGATGTGTCGTAGAACATAGTTTCAGAAATTGCAAAGAATTCTTGGGGGTCGTTCACTTATGACGTCCGATATTATCGGTCATTTTTCAAAAAAAGAACAATGAAATTCCAGGAATTTCTCCCCCTCCCCTGGACGTCATAAGTGAACGACCCGTTGTTTTAAGTCTGCTTCACATCATCTTAACTTCAATAGTAATTTTAAATATTATACAAAAAATGCGCCATCAATCTATAATTTTCCTAAAGCCTTCTCAACACTTGCCCCTACAAAATGTTCAATTAAACTAGAAAAAATATTTCTTACTAGCTTCAAGGGTTCTCCTTCCAAAAAATAAAATAATACAGTTTTATTTTAAATTAACTGAGAAAGGAAAAGTTTTTCATTTAATTTATTTTTTCCTCGTCTCTCTTTTTTGTGTTTAATGAGAATGTATGTGGATTCATGTGAAGGCTAGTTTTGCACTTGGAAGAATAATTTTTTTGTTTTTATTTCTAATTTTAATTTTGTTTATTTTTTGGGGTAGTCGAAAAAATTTAAATTATTTTTTTAATGTTGCAAAATTATTATGACACGAGTTTGAAGCTTCATACTTAAAAATTACAAATTTTTTGAGTATTGAGGAATTTTTTTAAATAAAAATAATTTTGAAAATTTTAAAAAAAATTCAAAAATCTTACAAAATAAAGAAAAATTTAAAAAAATCAAAATTTCATGATTTTGCAGTTCAGCAAGCCCCACGTGAATCCACAAAATAATCTTACAGTTAAAATATTTCTTTTTTCACTTTTTTAAAAAAAATCTCATTTTTATCGTTCAAATTTTCATTTTCCTTACATTAGATAAATTAGAAGCATTTTTTACTATAATTTCTTCATCCTTTCGTCTACTATTTTAGTATTTTTCATTTTTCCAGTCTTTTTCCGACTTAACAATTAATTATGTAATGGATATGCTGCTGTCGGCATAAATATAACCACATATGAACTGAAACACAATGAGAAAAAAAAATTATCCATTTTTATTCTCTCTTTTTTTTATCATTTTTTTGTAACTATAATTAACTAGCATCGTTGTAAAAACAATTGTTTTAGCTTTATTTTCGACTGCCGCATTCGGTATTTTTCTTGCTGAATGTACATTTTTGTGGTCTATCCTATGACCTCGTCGCTTCCTCATTGTTAATGTGAAAATTAATGAAAAACATTTTTTTTCTCGTCTCGGAGCTATTTTTCTTGGAAAGGAACTAGGAGAGCAATTGCTGATAATTTGCTTCTTTGGCTAGTCACTTGATTGTCTATAAGACTTCTTGCTTAACTTCTTTGACAGTTAAAAATTTATTTAAATTTTTCCCGCACTTTTTTGAACTTTTTTTTGTGTAACGGTTTTTTCAAAATAATTTTTTGACTGGAAATTCAAAACTTTCTTTAAGTATGTGACTTAGCATAAGATTTATTTACCATCCTTCCCTTTCCAAAGAAAATCGCTCGCTCTGAAATTTTTTATGCTAACCTTTTTTTCGCTTTTATATCCACAATATAAATTACAAAATTCTATAGCTAACCATACATACAGACACACTTACATACATACAGCACTTATTTTTCTACAATTTTTTTGTATGTATAAAGAAGTTCCTCCTTAAAGACTATATCATGTATATATATTTTCTCAGAGTCAGACTCTGTATACACTATGTATATATTTTTGAGATGAGATGAAGATTGCTGTCGAGTCCTTCCAATGCCTTTTAATTTTCATTCACCTATTTACTATTTTACAAATTATTCCTCATCCTCATCATCACTTTCTTATATACAGCTCTCCTGTAGTCGATTTGAATTCGCCAGTAATTCGGGTCGAAATCGAAATTCATTGAGTGTTGATGTGACAATTGATTGATTGGGACTGATTAGGCCTACACTCATCGGATGTGTTGAAATATTTACAGATGGTTGCTGTTGCTGATTTATTGGACTACCTAATGTTGATGAAGTGAAGACTGATGGTGATGCTGTACACGTTGTAGTTACACTATTCTTATTGTTACGGCCTAATGTGGCATAGCTCTGTGTTGTTGAAATATGGAAGTGGAGGAAGGAAAGAAGAAAAGAAAATTGTGATAATTAATGGGCAGCTCTTAAGTTCTCTAGCTCCTTTTTATGCTTCTTATAGCTGAAGCTACTCGTGAAATTACTTTTGTATGAATGAGCACTTAATGATGCATTCGAAAATTTATTTACGAGACTAGTTTCTCCTGAATTATTTGCAAATAATAATGATAATGATTATTGCCGGCAGTGTGCAAACTATAAGACTGGAAAAGCACCGAAATTTTTCCCAATGACTTTAAAAATCACAACTGCATCACCAAAATGTCAAAATTGGTTAAATTTATTTCATCTAACGAGACTCATTCAATTATTGTAAGAGTCGTTAAAAGCATACGACTTTTGTAATTTGCTTTTCTAGTTTATTTGTTTCTGTATCAAGATAATGTAGGGACAAGCGCGTACGCAAGTCCCTGCTACCAAAAATTGCGCGAACGAGTTACTCAGATGTTGAGTAATCGCAGCAGTCATCTTCGTCGAAGTGCAATGACAAAGACTCATGCTGGGGGAACAGCCTTAATGATCACTGTAACCCCTACGCCAGGTAAGTATGCTTTGCTCTAATCTTAGTCATGCTCTTATATTAGTCATTTCTGATTGCTCTTGCGAAGTATAGTCAGATTTGTATGAAACTGAGACAGCAATAGAGGAAATGTATGAAAGTGTGAGCGAGACAGAAAATAATTTTTTCTCTGGCTTGTAATTGTGTGCGTGAGGTTATTTTTGTATATGCGAATACTTTCCATATCTTACACAGACCCTCTTTTATTATGATTTAAATTAATATTTTTTGTAAAAATTCAAAGCAATGCATCATTATTTTCTCATGTCTGGAAACACATTTTTAACGACTTGTTAATTAAAGAGCGTAAGTCACACTACAATTTATTAAATTTGTTTAATGTTTCTTCAAATTTCAAATTTCATTAGCGTTTGTAGACAAGTGGAGATGCCATGAAAGATATGAAAAGTGTTTATTTAATTATGAATGAAATTGCATTATTAATTGCATCCTTTATGATTTTGTTGAAAGGAGTCGCGATGAAATTATCGTAAACTTGTGATTCACTAATGAGATTCGAACTCTTAAATTTTCATGGATTTTACATTTTTTCCTTAAGAAGAACAAGCAGTAAAGCAAAAATTATGCAATTAAAGAGCACCTTACAGCATAATCAGCATAATAATTAAACTAAGATGTTTGTGTCTTCATTTAACTCATTACTTAATAAGATAATGAAAGAGAAGCTGAAGAAGGATAGGAATGAGGAAAACTCACAATTTGTTTGTTGGGCATAAATGAATAATGAAGGACTTCATTATGTGACGGCTGCGATACTACTCCCTCGAATGACGATGTTGCTATATTTAATCCATCAACTGAACATCCTCGATCATCCTCCATTATGTCCTTTGGCATTAAACGTGATGATGGACTACGGAAGAGTGGAATGGGAAGTGACGTTTTCAATGGACGTCGTTCTGTATTCAGGATAAAGAAAAGAATTTAGGAATGAATGAGATGCTCTTATAGATATGAATGTATTTATACAGAAATAATGTTTTTGGCTTTCTGATTATGAATGAATAAGTCATGTTATGCAGCATAAAATGAAATTGCTCTAATTTCCTTCAAGGATGCATTTTAAGCTCTAAATTAATTTAAGATGCTTCAAAGTCAAAATGAAGTCGATAAGACATAAAACATGGCACAAATTCAAATATAGACAAAGGCACAGAACATAATTTTCTTAGTCTACATGAAATTTTGTTTATCCTTAATTTAAATTTTGATTGAAAGGAAACATAAAGACAAATTTCAATGGGAGCAAATGGGATCGTTCATAAATGACGTCCATTTTAAAAATAATTTAATGACTCCCAACCCATAAAACACTTGTTTTTGGCTGTAAAGAACCTAATAACGTCTCATGAAAAAACTGGACGTCATTAATAAACGAGCCCTAAAAGGAATGAGAAACTACAGATTTCTTCAATTATGGCAACAATCAAGAGCTGAACAGCAAGACAAATATTTGTTCTCATTACACTTGATTATTATTATTTCAATTATGTCTTATGATTCGACAAAATCCTCTTGAAATTACCAATATGGATGTAAATGAGAAAGTACAAAATGACTTTGACACAATTAATTAATTAATTTTCATTTGGATTGTAAAATTTTAGTGCCCTCCTCATTCAACAATGGCAGTTGGGCGGAATCTTCAATTATAATTTTAATTTATTTTCTTCCAAATAATTGCATTGTCTTCTTGTCAACAACAACGTTGGACTTGTTTATAATAATCAGCTTAATTCTTATAATGATGCTCAAGTTCAGAAGCTTACTCATTCTATAATGTCCTGAAAATTACTGGTCTTTGAGATCAAAACTTTCTTGATGGGAAAATTTGTTTGATTTTTAAAATGACTTTAAAGTTTTTGTCAAGATGCTCAGGCTTCTTCATTTACCATTTAACATTTAAGTCTTGCTTGGTTGGCATGGCAGCAAATCAAAAGCTACTAATGGCATGAATACAGGCATTGCAATATGAATAAGACTTGTTAGAGTAAATTACACAAAAATGTAAGGAAAGTTGTAAATTAATATTTTCATAAGAACCATTGTAGTCTCTAGTGCCTGTGTTATTGTTGTTGTTGACTTATTTTGAACTTCTCATTTATGTTGCGTAGAGATAGAGGAAGTAGGAAGAAGACTAGGTGAATTTTATTTGTAAATAAATGAAACTTCTAAAGAACTTAGCAGCAAACTTAAGATAGTGACTAGCTCTAAGCTCCTAGTGCCAAAAATGCCTTGCAAATCCCCAAATTTCAAACAATTTCCAATGAATCAAGCACAAAAAAATTTACCATATTGATTAGGTATCACATCAGGATCAGTATCGTCACCATCAGGTGCTTCTCCCAATATCAATTGCGGACTTTGACGCATTAAACTGCCATCAACAAGCGGCGTTGATAATCCACCATTCTCTCGTGCCGTCTGTGACATTGATTGCAATTGACAGTCCATCATTGATTTAGCTGATATGTCGGCTGTTTTTCCATTTTTTAATTTTTCTACGTTGTTTCTATTCGGATGCAATTTTATTCGAATTGTACAATGAAATCAATTGATTGGGAATTTGTTAGATTCAGGCAGGAAATTTGATTTGGATTTGAGAATGGAGAAGAGAAAGAATTAAATTTATTGACATTTTCAGCATTATTAGAGAATTTAAGGATCGGATTTTTGAAATACCTATAGGGTCATGTGAAAATGACGTCCCTTGAATAAAAAATTTGTGATAACAGCTGACTCCCATACTCTAAACTGTGACCATGAACTTCCCCTGTTTGCCACGTCAAAAAAACCCTCTTTAAATTATAAACGTCATTAATGAACATCCCCCGAAGATATCTCAAAAAAATAATCCTTAGCTATGATCATTAAATATTCAAAGCTCAATTAAGAGATAGCAAAATTGACATACTTGTGCGAGTGCTTTCGATAAATTGTTGCCAAAACGATGCAAACGACAGCAAATAAAATTGCCGCAGTGAGAACGAGTGCTGCAAGAACAGGTGAAACTGGAACATTCATCACATTTGATACGCCTGCAATGAAAAAAGGAAGAAAAAATATTATTTTGAGTAAATACTTTATTTTTCTAATTTAAGCTAAATAGTTTCTCTTTGAGATAACAATCAGGAAGTTCAAAAGGGGATGCTTTTGAGTGGGTAAGAAAAATAATTGGACAAGATTTTTACTTTGTAGATAAGATCAATGCTGAATTTGAATTTGAAATGAAAATCATATCAGAGTAAATAGAAATGGATGTAAGAGCTAACGATAGCCAAGATTGATGGAAACTTTTTAAATTAAAAAATGCACTCAAATAGTCAAATGAATCATGAATGCATTAATCAAGATAAAAGTTCTTTGAAGTTTTATCATTTGCTTGGTTAATAAAATCTAATAGCATGTCCTGCATTGATATAGTCATTGAAACTCAAACATTATTTTAATGAAAAGTTCAAGCTGCTGAAGTTCGATATGAATTTTATATTTTAGAAACAGCAATCATGAGTTTCCTAATAATTCAGGGACGGAACCAGAAATAAGTCGAAGAATATAAAACAAAATTAAGGAGCAAGGTGTTTGATCCTCTTTTAATAATTTATAGCATAAACACTTCCAATTTTGCAAAAGGACCGCGTGACATTTTCATGAATATTCATTAATGTCAATTGTTTGCAGAAGGACGAAAGAAGTGCAAAATGGAAGCAATAAAGTCAAGTAAATATTGCTGAATAAAGTAAACTTACCCGTAAATTTGGCTACTCCTTTAAAGCTGATGTCGTCAATTATCACAGGCTCTGAACGACCTTTTGCATTCACCGCAAACAGAATCAATCGATATGATGTAGTTGCCTCGAGATTGTCCAGCACAAAGGACACTGGTGGTCTCTGTAAATATGTGAACGAAAAAAAAAGATGATTAAATATTTGCAAGTTGATATCATGGACATGATCATTGAAACATATGTGCTGAACCATAAATGAAAAAAAAGGAAAAAAGGATGTGACATTTATACTCACAAAAAGTGTCAAATTTCGGACTAATTTCAATGTTGGTATTTCGACCATTTCCAATAAAAACATTTGTGGTAATCCACCATCAAAGGATTCAATGCACTCAACGTGAATTGAGTCTATCGATTGATTTGACACTGTACAATTTTGCAATGCAAACGGACGTCCTGCAAATAAATACAAATAAAAGAGGTGAAATCAGAGACACACAAAATTTGTTTTGTTTTTAATGCATTCATTAAATCGCGAATTTTAATGCTACAGTAGCCAGTTTGACATGTGCATGCAGGAACAATGAGCGCTTTAGTCGCTAATATCAAATGACTTTCTGAATTTTTCATGTATTTGTAGATGCGGCTTCAACTCAATTCATGTGGAAATTAAATTAAATTGGTTGCACATCCTCAAAAAATGAGGCAGTAGCAGCATGATGCAGGAAATTCAATGTTGAAGGCCGCACACGACAAACACACACGAAAAACTTTTTTTGTTGCTTAATAAAAAAAATTGTCGCCAGGCACGGCAAAAAAATGAAAATAAAATTAAATCAGAATGGATTTATGCACCTGCTGCAACTATTTGAAACACGCATGGTGTCTTTTGTTGTCCTATAACATTTCTAGCCCAGCATGATATGGTTCCATAGTCAAGATCTGATGTTGGAGTGTAATTTAATCGGGACCAGCCCGATTCTGTTGTTTGCAATTGTGAGGTCAGTTCTGTTTGTTCACCTGATGAATTGAATGTCCAATGAAATGATTCAGCCGGTGGCGATGCTTCAACTTCACATTTCAATTGCAATGTCTCATGTTTTAAAGCACCAAGTAATTCTTCTCTGTCATTGGCACAAACTGGGGAAACTGTTGGATGAAAAGAAGAACAAGAAATGGAAATGAATTATTAATGGGAATCAGAAATGGAAAGATAATGACAGAAAGTGAAATGAAGCGACTGAAAATTTAAATTTTTTTTATGTGCTACACAAAAACAGCAGCAAAATTATCAGCGATGCCACATTTTCTGCTTTTTGTTTTTCATGCGACCTGAAAAGTCCCAAAACAGACTGAGTGAATTAAGAGATAATCAACAGCCACACTTATTTTTTCAACTTAATGTTCTGTCTGCTTTTTAATTCACTTGCACTTTTTATTATGTCCCAAAAGTGAAATGTGTTTATCAGGTCCATAAAATACATTTCAGTTCTGAGACATTTTCTATCCATACTTAAAATGGTAACTTACATCGAACTCTTAATGTTACAGGATTGCTTGTTCCACGACCTTCTGTATTTGCAGCCAAACATGTATAATCACCAGCGAGGCTCTTTGTTACACTTTGCAAGACCAGCGACTGATCTGATAAAATTATTCCTGCTGTGACATTGTGATGTAGCTCAACTCCCTGAGGAAATAAGGCATGAAGAAAAAGAAGGAAAGAAAATTAAAGTGTCAAGAAGTGAAAATTGAATAAGATGTGGAAGTGCAAAATGGATTTGATGACAAAAGGAAATGGATTGTGGATGTTATGGGAGTTCTTACATCATGGAACCACGATAATTTATAGAATTTGGGATTAGACTGTATGAGGCACTCGAAATAGACATCATCGCCCTCTTTTATGTCATCTGGATTCAGTGATGATCCCATTTTGAGCGTAACAATCGGCATGTCTGTAAAAAATATGAAACAAAATGTTTAAATATGCTCTGCTTGATGCTGATTCCTGGATAAAAGAAACAGTCGTCTATTGACATTTCTATGAATAGCATAGTTATGAATGAGTCTGACTCACTGACTGAATGGCTTCATTATTATGACAATAGTGAGAAAATTTCACATTCAACAGTCATTGGCAAGGACAATAGCAATGGCTGACAGAGTTGTGGTATCAAAACTAGCTAGACATTCTCAATAAATTCTCATAGAAATGTCATTGGATATAAAACGTTCAAGTAAGCTTACTCTGTTGCTTACAATTATTGTGTGGATGCAATTCCTATAACAATGGAATAAAAGAACTTACAGTGTACAACAAGCCTCCATTTGTCTTCTATTGCACTGTCAGGAATGTATGGATTTTCAGCGCGACACGTCAAGTATTTTCCATCATCATCGACAACAGGGATGAATGTTAGAACACTGAGTGTTTGATTGCCGGTCTCGGAAAACTGTAAAAAGATTGAAAAACAGGAGAATGGGAAATGAATGAAATGTTGCAATGCAGATCATATTGTTGATGAATCATATGGTTGAAATGAACATGATGCGTAGGATGAATGCTGAAATCAGCAATAGAAACAACAGAAGAGGCTTAATTCGAGAATATTTTGAGATCCAAAGCTTCTTTTTGCATGTTTAAATATCATCAAAATGCAAACATCATTAAATTTATTTTTTTGGCTGAATTTTCAGATCGTAAATAGAAAATGCTGAGTCAATGGAACTGAAAAATTTTGAATAAGAATTTGAGAAATTCAAGTTTGTGTTTTGTAATTGATGAGAACCTCTGTGAAATAATTGAATAGCTATGGAACAGATAAAAGTATCTATTGGTGTTGCTTTATGCTGTTAATTAAAGAATACAAGTTTGAAGTATGAACAGACAAGCCTTTAATCTTACAGTTATCTAGTTTGACTATTAAAAATGAGTTATAGGGGCTGTTCACGAAAAAATGACTTTTTAGACCCCCCCCCCCCCCCCTCGTAACAAAATTTGTATGAAAAAAAAATTTCCTTGTTTGAACCGTAACAAAATCTTAGACCCCCCTCCCCCCTAAAAGCGTTACGTAATAAGTGAATGGCCCCATAGTAAATACATCCCAGACAAGAAGTGCCTGAACATTCAAACTTACATTTTTAGCCATTCTTTTAATTTGTCTCGATCCCTTCCACCAAGTCAGCACAGCCTCAGGGCGTGAACCGGAACTTTTGCATTCAACATCGTAGCGCTTCTCGGCTGAGAGAAATTTCTCCCTCGTTGTAATATGCACTGCTATTGGCTTCACTGTGTTTGGATGCAAAGAAATAAAAAATAAAATTATTTTAAAATGAAAAACTTTTAAATTTTCTTCGTCTTGTTTTTCTTTTGTTTTAAGTTAAATAGTTACAAGCAAGTTATGAATAATTTCTATGGAATTATGGAAACTCTCAACTTCTTCTTAACTCTGTTATTGTCGTATTAAGCCTTACAGGCAGTTGTTCTTCTTTATTTTTGATACGAATCCTTTTTCATTTGGTATTTCATAGACAAATTAAGTAAGGAATTAAAGCATTAAAGCGCATCTTTTGTAGAATTGCTTCAACACTTTGTCATGTGAACTGAAATAATCTTCGTCAATGCCACAAAAAAAATATTCAAGTTCTCTACTAGCATGAAGCTTGAGACATAAGAAGTTGAGGGAAAAGTTTCAATTTCTTCCTTAAATGCTTTTTTCTACACGAAAATTCTTGATAGTTTGTGACATGAGGAAGTTAATATGAAGCACACGTACAGCAAAAAACGAAAAGGAACGGAAGAAAACATTTTTGATGAAAATTTCATAATTTTAAATTAATTGACATGAAAATATTGTGACTGTAGACAAAAATTTAATCTCTCATTTAATTCAGAAAAGGATGAGACTAAGAAGCGATGAAGAAACTGAAAAGAGCAAAAGTTTGAAAAATGATTTTTCACAAAAAAAAAATAAAGAAGAAGAAATTCAGGAAATGCTGAGACAAATTTTCTTCTAATTCAATTCAAACTGTACAATGAAAACCACATACAGGGATATAGCCATGAGAAAAATGAACTGAGCAGCATATGCGAATGATTGAGATGAACAGAATTTCGCATTTAGCAGTTAAAAAAGAGAAAATGGAACGCTTGATAATAAAAAAATTGTAAAATGTGGCAAATGATTCACTGAAAGGAGACACAAAAACCTTTTCAGATCAAAAATTAAGAATGGATGAATAGAATGGTTATAAATGGAACAGGGAAGCTTAAACAAAAGAATGGAAAATTGTTCTGTGCAGCTTTTGAGTCATTTGATTTTTCGTCATTTAAAATTAGTCAAAAATATATTTAAGGGTGGATTTCCTTCAATGAACTGAATAGTAAGTGACATCCAATAGAATAAATCAGGATAACTTACAATTTACATCTAAAATTACAGCTTTGTTGTTGGGTGGCGTCAAATTCGTATTGCTTGCCACACACACTAGTCGTGAATTCAAATGCTGACGTCCTATATTTGGATATGATAAATGATTTACAGTGATGCCATCCTTACGTATCTCAAACGATTCATCGATTACTGTGTTCTCTAAATACCACGTCACATTGGGACGAGGACGACCTGCATAGATGGAAAAAGGATTGAAATTTAAATTTTTGTGTCATTTTAAAGTTTGTGTGATCATTTAAAGCTGAATGGTGGCGAGATAGAGGAAGTAACTGAATGCATGAATATAAAAGGCGGAAAAGCTTATTTTAATATGCAGCACAAAAACTCATGAAAATTCCAACTATAAAGAGCAAAAAAGGAACTTTTCAATCTTGCATGAATTTTTCATTATGGAAAATATTTTTCATATAAAAAATTGTGAGATTGTGCGAAAATGATGTAATTTTATGGAACTTTTTTCCTCACTTCCAACAGCTTTTTTATTGAGTTTTTATAGTTGAAAGAATTCATGCACAAGTCCCGGCTTTTACAGGAACATTTCACATTTTTGCAATGAAAATTAAAAAGTTTTTTTCATGCTTCACAGAATTGCGATTCCCTTTTTGTTCATATTTAATTCAGTTTTTTATTCACAAACGCTTTAATCAGGCATACGAGAAAAAAGTATTGAATTTACCTCCTGAGACTTCGCATATTAGTGTCACATCACTTCCTTCATTGTACGGTTCTATTAATTTCGTTCGATCTCTCCTTCTTGCATCATATATCACAGGTTTTTGAGGTGGAACTGTAAAAACATAATCAATAATTTAAAGTACAACATGAAGGATATGAAGGCACAATTTACCTATAACAGTAAAATTTATTTTTAAATTTCTTGTTGGCGAATTGCGAAAATCTACACGACATCTGTACATTCCCTCATCACTAAGCTTAATATCATCAACTAAAAGTTGTGCAGGATGTGATGCGGTACGAAAAAATGCTCGCTCGCCAAAGGCTGCTGGCGATGACCATAACTTTGCCTGTCCGAATTGCCTGCCTCTTACATCGAAGCTGAAAATAAGGAACAGAAGAAAAAAAAAACATTTAACAGATTTACAGAATTGATAATTCTGAGAACCGATGAGAAATTATGAAGCTTATGAATTATAAAGTCGTGACTAAAAGCCATAATTATCCATTCTTATAGGACACGCAGATCATTTTTAATTGATCGTTGCGTTAAACCTTCACTTGATGTGATTAACTGACGTAAGAGAACTTTAATGATAGCGAATCAAATCAAGCTTAACATTTGTTGAATCGATTTATTGCAAATATAATGGATATATGTTGGAATCGTAAACGATCCATTCTGAATTATTTAACTATCATTATTTTTATGAAGCAATTCAAATCAGGTGTCTCTGTGGATACAAACAGCTTCAAAAGTAACTTCATAAAAAAATCTCTTGAAATTCCACAATTTAAACACAAAAATTTCTTAATGCGATTAATTTACGACCTTAAAGCGGCTAATTGACAAATTATACCAGCAATGTTGTGTATATGGAGTAATAAATATCTCAAATTACCTGTACAACGGCTCACCGTCGCCTTCTTTAAACCACAGCACCATATAGACGGCATCATCGCGCTCTAAAGGTGTTATATCACATGGAAGCATCGCTTGTTTTCCTAACACACCCGCTACAGATGTTATTGGAACTGGTAGGTAAGAAAGAGAAGGAAAAAAAAATAAGATAAAAGATTGTTAAGAGATTAGAGACTGAAAGTAAGAAGGAAAAATTCAGCTGCTGTTGCCATATACACTTATTTATTGTGCTGATTAATTTCAATTCACCTAATTAAAGATAATGTAAAGAATGTGAATGAAAAGTGAGTTTGTGAAAATGGAAACAATGGAATGCTATACACAACATAATGTTTCATCTTAATTTGGATATTAAGAATTTGAATAACATAAATGGAAATGCCGAGAGCGTCGAGCTATAGCCAAATAATAGAATATTAATTTATTTAACGTTTTTAAAGGAACTGAAGATTATAATATTGCTTGTTTTCGCTTCAAATTATCACGACTGTTAATCGGGTTTTTATTAATGGAAAATTAATTCGGAAGTTTATTTTGATGAGAATTGAGCAGAAGTTAAAAGGAAGCTAGGCTAGAAAGATGATTTGAACGCATTTTGTGACAAAGAAGAAATCAGCTACCAAGACTGGTCTATAAATGGTCTAAGTTCTTGATAATGACCCAAAATATCAACAAAAATAGAATCAATAAAAAAATATTTCCATCCAAATAGTCAACAATGCTTGAGAATCAATAAAACAAGATATTCAAATTCCCATTTAAATATTAAAATAAAATCCAAAAAAGGAATTATTTCCAGTTCATTTTCATAACTTAAATTAAAAGTCCATCAAGAGCATCGCCTGTTAAAAGATCGTTAAGTTAATTAAATTTTTGCGTCTTGTTATATTATTTTCAATGGCTGGCTGGATGTGAACGTTGATTGAGATACTATTGAAGTGCTTCAACTCAACAAGCATTTCATCGACCGACACGGTACTTCTTTAAAGTCAGAGGTTAAATTGAAGGAAAATTATTAATTAATTGATACAATCAATCAATTAAAGCTCATTAAATTTACTTTCATTCGCATAAGCTCGATGTGTTGTGGATTGAGATTTTATTGTCTGATGATTCTCTCGTTAAAAGAGTTTATGGTCGTTATTGTAAACTTAGGATGAAATTAAAATCATTACTGTCGATTATAAACAGCTGATCAGTCTCAAGTGTGGTCGGTATTGTGTTGACGTAAATATTATTTGATTTATCCTAAGTGTCTTTTAATTAACTATTGTGTATTTTTTCAAACAATTGAACTTAATGAAACCTATAATTACCGACTGAGGATGCTTATTTCTGTGATTTAATTGACGAATTGTTGGATTAATATTGCTAACCGTAGATAATTAGATGTTATGAAATTGAAATTAGCTATCTTTATTATTATATGTTTGCGTATATACAAATATATTGAATTAAAATGTATTTATAGTAAGGAAAATTCAGTAAACAGTTTTAATTCTATAGCCATGTGGTTTGATTAAGTTTTAAATGACTCAAGTAGTACTAAGGCGTGGAAACTCAGGACTGATCCTGAAAAATCCCAAAAATCTAAAAAACAATATTTGGGCCAATAAACATTATTATTATTATTATTATTTATTACTATACTTATAACATGAAAATTTGAAATCACTTTTAAATCCCGAAAAGAGGCTTCACATTTTTATATTTATTGGCTCAGAGATTTTTGGGATTTTCGGGATTAATCCTAAGTTTCCACCAAGTTTCCATGTCTTGAGTAGTACCAAGAAATTAGGAGCATGAAGTCTGTATTATTCAAGCTGTGGCTAGACAAGTCGCAGGGAACTTTTCAGATTCCTATAGCACTCAATTGGTAACATTACCCTAGCAAGACTAACTAGCAAATTGCTAGTCTTTCTATTTTACTACTTGCAATTTACTAGTAATTATTAAAACAACTTACTATTAGAAAATTACACTCGCTATTCACTAGCAAATTACTAGCAAATTACTATGTAAAATGTTTGATCAAATCTTCTTAAGTTCGAATCCTACGAAAAATCATCAAAAAAAGAATTTTTTGCGTCAAATAAAATTTTGTTCTAAATTTGGCATTTGCCATATACTTCACAAGAGCGCGCAGAAATCACCTTTATAAGATTGATCCAAATTTGTATGTGACTTTCAATTAATTATTTATCTTCCTCAGGTTTGCGTGCGAGTCATGGGCGTTCATCACTGTTTGACTTAATTAAATTAAGTCTTTTATTTTTTTTTCATAGTGTTAGTGTACTTTAATTAACTTAAATAAGTACACACTAATACTTTTACAATAATTTACATAAATAAGAAAAATCAAAAAAAAAAACACGTGGAAATCAACGGTTATATTCATTTAAATTTTTTAAAAATTTGCTAGTAAATTACTAGTTAAATTGTAAGCGAATTGACTAGTCAATTAGCAAGTGAAAATGCGGGTCTTTGGCGATGATTTGAACTTGGATTTTGACTAGTAAATAGCAAGTAGCAAATGGAAAGTTATCAAGTGAATTACTAGGAAATTACTAGTAAATTTCTGCTAGGGTTAGTAAATCCATATGCAGTTATAAGCAGATCTTCAGTTACCTTAAACTAGTTCAACAAAAAATCTTCAGTCAGCAATTTTTATAATAATGAATCCAAACCCCAAAGAATCCTACATAATCCTTAATGAACCAGACTTGCGTCATTTCATTTCGAAGAAATTCGAAATTGGCTCCGAAAAATTCGAAATTTATTTCGAAAATTTAAACTCAATTCAACCGGTAAAACTTTAAAAAATTCTATGTTGAATTTTGAGCATTTTAGCTATGATAACTACTGTCAACTAGCTTAGAATCAAAGCTTGTTATTATTTATGAACATTGATAAGCTTTAAAATCATGAATATCAAGAAACAAAAGAGTTTTTTGCAGAAATATTTTCAAGAAATTTTTACACTTACACACTTACATTTTTTTGTTGACATTTTTCAATTTCAACTGAATTTTCTTAATTTAGGAATTTTACACGCTTTTTTACACGCTTTTATTTAACTCACACTGTTTGTATGTTTCATGCGTCAAATTTTGTAATCGTTATTTCGATCACTTCTACTGCTCCAATCGAGCTCAAATTTTTTATGCACACTTATTCTCGGTGACAATACAATATTTTAACACTTTGGAACCACAAAAATGCTTAATTATAGTACAATTTAAGTAAAACTTTTTTTATATGGGAAAAAATCCAATGTCAATGACATATAATTTTGATTTGTTTAAAATATTATACTTGAAATGTTCAAAAGTCATTTACATGATTCATTATAGTTTAATTAATATTATTAATTATTAATTATACTATAAATTTGAATAGCTAAAGATATTCTGGTAAGACCAGTAAAAAAATTGACAAGTAATTTTTTCATAGATATTCGTAAGTGAAAATTTGAATTTTAAAAAAACCGTTAAGCGCAAGTCAGTTACGTTTTTAATACAAAATAACTATTGATATGCAAATATGCATTTAGCACACATCGTTTGAGCATAATATATATGCTTTTAATGTATTTGATTGATTCTTAACAATTGACTAACATTTAATGAAATTCTCTTTCTTTTTATCAACGGCTTGACGTAGTTTTGCATAACATATAAAAGACATTCATTAAAATTAAATTTGAAAAATCCGTTATAAATACTATAGTATTAAGTAGAAATGGTACGAATAAACACCAAATCTTTATGATTGATTTTTAATGTACTATACTAATTGATATTCAGGACACTTTTAAGAGTTTAATGTGTTTCCAAGTATGAAATAAATTATATAAAACGAATGAAAAATTTTGATAGTCTTTACCCATTAAAAACTGGTATTCAATAAATAGTTGAACGAAACGGAGTGAAACTAAGTGAAGTTTAGAATTTGAAAGTTGGAGATTTTAAAGACTAAAAAGTAGAAAATAAAATACTTTAAAAAAAACTTTTTTTAAAAAAGCACGCTTTTATTTCCGATTACAGAGCACTAAAAAGAAGAAAATAATTTTTTTTGCTAAGCTCTCAAATTTGATACAAAATTTTATGACTCGAAATAAAAGCGTGGGGCGCTGTTATAAATATCACTTAATCTTGAATTTGTATGTTTACATAAGCGTTAGGTCTTCAATGTTTATAGGTTTGTCTAAGGAGAATGATGAGCCCATACAAATTATGGTAAATCTGAGACGGTAGACTTGATCTTTATGAGATTAATGTAGAGTTTTCTGTGTGGCACTAAAAATCAAGTCTTACTCTCTGCTAAATCTAACTAGTTCCTTTGTGTCAAAAAATAATTTGAAATCAAAACGTTAAAAGGCCTTTCGTTTTAATACAAAAGTTGAATTAAGAAATGGATAATTAAACTGAATTCAAATAAATTTTTGAAAATCTAGAGCTAGTTTATATTTAACGCCCCACGCTTTTATTTTGAGTCATAAAAATTTGTATCAAATTTGAGAGCTTAGCAAAAAAAATTATTTTCTTCTTTTTAGTGCTCTGTAATCGGAAATAAAAGCGTGCTTTTTTAAAAAAAGTTTTTTTTAAAGTATTTCTTACTTAAAACAATGATTAACAACTTACTGATCACATAATTAATGATACTGATCGAAAAGCTTCATAATCTGTAGCTTAATTAAAGCAAATTTTGTTTTATGCTTTAACGGAAAATAAATTTTGAATTTTTCAAAATTTTATATAACTGCCGACATTTGAAATGACGCAAGTCTGTAATGAACCATCAAAATTTTCACCTAATTTAACAATTTCCTACTCAACACAAAAATAACTATGAACATTCTCCTTTATAACATAAGAACAACTCATTATAACACACTAATTAACATTTTAAAGTGTTCAACTAAAAATATAGCATCTCCCAAACTTTATCAGCACCATTACAGTTAATAGCTTCCATTAAAAAATTGTATATCGAATCAATAATTTTTAATTACCATAGTCAAATTTCTCACAAACTTTTACTCAAAATTAAGAAATTCAAATTAATAGAAAATCGACCGAATTAATTTTAATTAATTAAGAAAAAAAGTTTC